CAGAATAAATTATTTTGCTAAAAAATATTGAAGTAAGTAAGGAATAGGTATAGAAATTTTTGGCTCGAAATAGATATGTAAATTGGTGAAGACCTGTAATTTACGGATCCGGAATGCTTGGGTATATAAGGAAAAAGTATAAAAAAGTTCGGTTTGGAATAGCTATACAAAGACCCGTATTTTTACGGGTCCGATCTCAGCTAGTATAATAAATATTATATGATAACAAATATTATATGATAAAAGTAAAATTAAGTTAATAATACAAACTATATTGTATAATCATTTTGTTGTAGTTAAAGTTACCTAAGGTTAACACCATTTAAAAAAAAACCTTTTAAATGTTTAACGTGACTATTTGCTAAATCTTTAAATTGATAAGTTAACAAGTTCAAAAAAGAATTGAGGAAACGCCTTATTAATCTCAAGCATCCATAAAACATCCAAAAACACCTTAAATAGTCTCAATAAACAACTTTATTCGATTTTTTAGCCCTCTCGTCAAAATTACATGAAATTAAAGTCTTGCGTCCCGGTATTTTAGTAGTCCCTGTATATATATATATATATATATATATATATATATATATATATATATATATATATATATATATATATATATATATATATATATATATATATATATATATATGTATGTATGTATGTATGTAGTAGTAGTAGTAGTAGTAGTAGTAGGTAGCTGTAGTAGTAGTAGTAGTAGTAGTAGTAGTAGTAGTAGTAGTAGTAGTAGTAGTAGTAGTAGTAGTAGTAGTAGTAGTAGTAGTAGTAGTAGTAGTAGTAGTAGTAGTAGTATATTTGTACAAAATGTAGATTGTCAAATTATAAATAGCATTTGTGAAGCTCATAATGCAAATTTTATAAAAGAAAGTTGCGAGCTGTTGTAACTTTGTAGCCCATCTCGTAGCCAGGCTCGTTTTAAAGCTGTTGACAGATGGAGAGTAGACATTATTTGGCAAGCTGTTCTATGCGTTAGCAATGCGATTATTAAAAAAATTTAAACTGTGCTAAATTGATGCTGCATTTTTCCCCAGTAAATTCTCAATCTGTGATTAGCTCTTGATAGATTTCTCTTATTCAAACTCGGAGCGTTGAATGTATACAAAATTAACATTCATCTTGCTTTACAGTTTATGTAAAGAATAAAATATGCACAAAAATATGGTCTCCACCCATATTTTAACTCTATTTTAGCAAAATTAGCCATATATACTCTTAAAAAATTCAAATATGAACTTAAATTTTCTTTTTCTTTGTTAGTAAAATAATGTAAACTAGTACAATTTATTCTTTTATTTGCCTTAACTTTTAATTGTTCTAAATTTATTTTAGAACAATTAAATTTTTTTTTTAACTTAACAGTTAAATCAGTTGTAACGTTTCTATAAATCATATTATGAGTCGTAATTTTACATATTTTATGTATATTTTAACACAAGCTTGTAATGAAGCTATAACGGGTTTCAGTGATAAGACAATTTGATGTCTTCTGTTTAAATTGCGGTAAAATAAAAAAAAAATAAAAAAAAATTGTAATAAGAGGAAAAAGCCGGTCAATTATGTTGACGTTTCTCTCAATTTTAATTTTTTGAACGAGGCCACATCTAGATTCGTATAAGACATTTTTCTTCTTTTTTTTTTAAATATCTTCACTTCCAACAAGGCTGCAAGCAACCACTATTAGAGTTGGAAGTTACTGGAAGAGAAAAGATGAACTTTGTAAAACAAGATAACGATTAACAGACGATTTAAAAGATTGCAAATTTTAAGAATCAGGAAAAAAGAAAAAGGGAGCGAATTCCAAAGAACCGATGTTTGAGAAAGAAAACTAGATAAATAAGAATTTTCGAAGCACTTTGAAATAGTCACAGTAAAGCTGTGAGACTTAATTGAATAACGATTAACACGAGAATGAATTTTAGTTGATGGCGCAATAGACGCTTGCTCTTTAGAGCAGCGCCCATTATAGTATTTATAGAAATGAGAAAGAGAAGCAACGTATGATAATGGTTGAAGGTCGGCTGCAAGAGCAGGTCCAACTATGTCTACAATGCGTTTTTAGACCTTGTCTAAAAGAGAAAGTGCATCATTCGAAGGTCCGCTCCAGATATTGTAACAATATTTTATACAAGGGCGGATTTGAGATTTATAGAGATAAAGAATAGAATCCAAAATAAGAAAGTAGCAAACACGATAAAGAGATGCAACCTCAACAAATGAAAATTTTGCAATTAATTTGATATATGGTTTCTAAGAAAGATTAAAAGTAAGAGTTTGTCCAAAAATATGAAGGGTAAATAGTTCATCAAGTACATTACCGTTCATAATTATATAGGAAAATCTAGATTATTACAATAGCAATTAGCAGAAAAAAATGGATTTTTATCTGAGTTAAAGTTCATCAGCCTCTGTGAACTCCATGCTGTAGCAGAAATTAGATCTTTTTAAAGCTTAGATGCCCCATCCAAGGGTAGAGCCGAGAATAGAACCTTGAGAAATCCAAAGAGTAGGGCCGAGAATAAAACCTTGAGAAATCCTTGAAGTAACAGGAAATAAAGAAGATTGTTGTCCATCAAGAAAAATTTTGTACTATGATTGGTAAGGATAGATTCAATAATCTTAAAGATGTTATCTGACACACCGTAAGAAGAGAACTTATGGAGAAGACCAGCATTCCAAACTTTATTAAGTTTGGAATGCCGTAAAAAGAGAGTCTTTAGAAAAGTCGAGAGAGCCTTAGCCTCTCCACATCTATATAATGCATATTAAAATCTATCAGTTATTACCGTTAACAAATGAGCAGTAGAACGAAAAGATTGAAATTCATATTTATTATCGAAAAGTAAGTTATTAGATTCAAGATGAGAGATTAAGTGTTTATTAATCAAAGACTCAAAAACCTTGCTTATGATAGGAAATGCACATGTGGCCTCGTAGCTTAAGTTTTTTAGTTCGTGCAGTATCTTTGTGACTCTGTGTTGTATTCTTTCAATATTTTGTTCGTCTTTCATCAAATGAAGGTTCCAAGCTGGAATTGCAAGCTCAAGTAAAGAAAGGAGTATAGTTGTTTCCACAGAAAAAGAATTATCAAATTAGGGCTTGTTTCTTCCATTGTAGAAAGTTGAATCTTTTTGGCTAAAGTGCACGAAGTTGCATTTTTCTACGTTTAACTTCATGGCCCAAGATTTTCTTCTATAAACAATTTGCTCGATGGTTGATTGGAGTTAAAGTTGATCAGCAAGTTTATTGGCAATGCTGAGGATTTTAGTCTAATTAACGTAAATCTTACAAATGTTTTTTTTGCAAGTTACATCTGGGAGGTTGTTGATGAAAATGACAAATAAAGAACCCAAAACTGATCCTTGCAGAACACCACTATTTACAGGTAACCAATTAGACTGAGTGTCACCAAGGATAGCTTGTTGAGATTATTTTCGATTTTGTACATTTTTAATTTTTTTTAGTTTTTTAGTTTTTGTTAATGTGAAACTTTGTCAAGTGCTTTGGCAAACTACCATTTGATGTCCAAGAATACGACATCAAATGGTAGTTCCATTTGATAATATTAAACATATTTGCAGTCAAAAAGTCCATTGTTTCAAGGACGCATGCTTTTTTTTCTACAAAGCCCTGTTGAAAGTTTGAAAGTAGATTGTTTAATTTTAGATGCATCATGATTGTTTTCATGACTTTATTATACCAGGAATTGAGGGGATAGAGACTAATTTGTAGTTTGATAGGTCGATTTTAAAACCTATAATAGCTTTCTTAAACAGAAGCGTTACTTTTCTTTGTACCACAAAAAGTGGTTTTAAAAATTTGGGAATTTTACTATTTTCAAATAACTTTTGATGAGAGTAAGTGGAGTAGTCATGTGCATAGGACACAAGGACTGACGCTATCTATATAATGCGAATTGGATATATCAAGGGATGAGAGTTCTCGAAGAGTGGCGTGAGAATCGAATGTAATGCTGTTGACGGTTGAGTTGGTTTGGCAATTAAAGTGGTAAAGATTGTCACTTTATAGTTCTTTGCTAAAAACTGCATGAAGTTTTTTTTAAGTGAATTAGCTATAATGGTTTTGTATCTCACCAAAATTGGTAGTTCGAATCGATGAAATCTGATTGATTACAGATTTATTATCAATTTTAAAAAATACTATTCTAGCATCTTGTGTAACTCTTTTGTTTTCTCATTGTATCATTTTATTACTAATTTTTTATCTTTTTAGTATTATCTGTGGCAGATTGAGGTTTAGCGTTATGAAGGAAGGGGGAGGGGCATGAGTATGAGTAAGGGGCGATAAGGGTTGGGGAATGCACATTAACCCCTAGAAACATTTTTTTCCAAGAATCGGATGTAGTAATATATTTTATCGATGCTTTTATGTGCCTTTTATTATTACAATTAAGTAAGTCTTTTATCAAGTACGTCTAAGAAACTAAACAAATTAAAGCTTGAATTGACTCAGTACCGGATCAAGGGGGCTAGGGGGAACTATAGCCCCGAGCCCCGCAAATTTAAGGGACCCCAAAAAATTTAGAGGACTTTTTTTTTTTTTTTTAATTTCATTTTTAGGTTCTGATTCATAAAAAGGCCTCCAAAAACAAAAATAGCCCCGGGCCACAAGAAATCTTAATCCGCCACTGAGTTGGGTAAGTTTACTTTGGTTAACAAATTGTTAAAAAAAGAAACACTTAATATTATAGCAATAGTTTGGTAATTTACAAATATTTTTACACCATACATGTTACTAAAAAAATTATTGAGTAAGGAGTTTTCTGCTAGTTTTTACAATTTTTTTTTTCTGTAAGATTTCATTTCCAGTTAACTAACCTATAAATTTAATCTAATTAAGAACATGTATTACTGCTCTAATTAATCTAATCTAACTTGAATTCGTAATTTGAACATTTTTTGCCGAAACCCCGGAACTAAGTTCATGTACCCGGATAGTTTTACGATGCCGATATAGTAACAGTTTGCCGGGACATCCAATATTTCAGGCATAAAAAAGTATCGGAAAAGCATGTTCAAATCAAATAAAAATATTAACTTGATACAAATGTAAACTTGTGTTACAAAAGATTTGTATAATCGTAGTAGTACTAAGTAATGTATTAAATGCTATGCTATATATAGTTAGAATAATTATTTACCCCTCAAGTTTTAATGCATATTATTTTAATTTTATATACTTTATATTTAAATCATTAGTTCGTAACAAATAATTAGTCGTCATATTAAAAAAAGTTCTCTCTCTCTAGAGAGAGTGAACTATTTTTAATATGTAAAAAAGAGTTCTCTCACTATTTTTAATACGTCAAAAATAGTTCTCTCTCTGTCTCTCTTCTCTCTCTCTCTCTCTCTCTCACTTCTCTCTCTCTCTTTCTCTCCCCCCCCTCCGCATACAGACACAATTCTTAGCAATAAAAAAATAAAAACTGGTTTGAAGCAATTTAAATGATTTGTTGTGTCATGCCATAGTGTTTAAATGACAAAGTAGTTGGGCAGCATTACAATAACAATGTGTTTGGGCAACATTACAAACAACAATGACACATCCCATAAGGAGAGTGCTCAACAAAACAATGTGTACATATATATATATATATATATATATATATATATATATATATATATATATATATATATATATATATATATATATATATATATATATATATATATATATATATTTAAACAATTTAAAATGTATTCTACAAAAAGAGTGCTCAACGTTCTTAAAAGAACAGAGCAATTACAAATTAGTAGAAAATCACTTAGCAAAAGTTTTTCTCATTTAACACTGTGTTTCATCAATAAAGACTTATCAGAAATTTCTGATGAGTCTTTATTGATTAAACACAGTGTTAAATGAGAAAAAATTTTGCTAAGTGATTTTCTACTAATTTATATATATATATATATATATATATATATATATATATATATATATATATATATATATATATATATATATATATATATATATATATTATATATATATATATATATATATATATATATATATATATATATATATATATATATATATATATATATATATATATATATATATATAATTTCATTTTTTAATCTGTGCTTTATTTTAGTTTATGATAAGGATATTTTTTAACCCCTTGTCAACGTAAAAAGTCAGTTACAATACTGTTTTAGATTTTTGCTAAGTGATGGTTTATGAACATGAAGATAGAGGTTTGTTAGATTCAAAATGGGTTGGTTCCAGTTCAATGATGATTTATTATCGTCCATATCAGCTAGAAGGTATGTTTTTAATATAATAGATAAAAATTTTATGATATATAAAGTATTTTTGTATATTTTTTGAGATAAATAAAATATTTATATTTTTCTTGTAGAAAGACAAGAAAAATATAACTACCGCAACTTAACTTTATAATGCATAGATTGCCTACTCAATTTTAAGCACCAGTAATAGGTCAAATGATTATCTGGTGGCTTAACCATGCATATATGGTGACCTAAAATAGCTTTTTAATTAAATATTAATTATATATCATTAAAATGGATTTCAATACAGTATTTTAATAACAAATTTTAAATATATGAATTTGTTGAAAAAACTATAGTTGAATTTCTGTTTCTCTTTATTTGAGCTATTATAACTTTTTCAGATTTTATGTAAATGCCTGTAAATTAGTGTAAAAGTGGTCTACAAATTTACATAGGCCTTTGGCCTCTAGGCATATCCAGAAGATAAACGGTTAGCAGAACCAGCAACTTGTACAATGGATGCTCCATCATTACACACTTGCAAGTTTCTGTGTAAGGGTTTTAAATTTGGCTATCTCCTTTGAACTCCTTGTTGGATGAGTTAAAGCATTTAAGAAATACAAATGTAAAGCTTTAAAGTTGTGCAAAGTGGCCTTTACAGTTCAATATGATGAGTCAACCCACTGTGTACTAAGAATTCCCCTACTAAGAAGACAAATTTCCACCTCAACTACTGCTGCAGAAAGCTCTCTTGTTTTTTGAAGACTGAATGCTGTACCAAGCATAAAGAGTATTAATAAACCACTTAATATGGTAAACCAAAACGTAAACTTTAACTGCATCACTTACAGCCAGTTCAAGACAATGATTCAAGCAATGTCATCTAACTACCCAAGGAAACTTCTGCTTCAAATGTTCAAAGATGCCATTATTTAGTCCAGTCATAAGTCACAGTCATAGTAAATTTCAAATAAATAGGAATCTAAAAAGCCATGTTGATTAGAATAATTTAGGATCTGAGTTACAATTTCTGCAGAAACTCTAGTAATTGAAAAAAAAAAAAAAAAATTCTGAATGTAGCATAATCTTTTTCTTCATTTGCTTACTTATAAAATCAATGTCTCCACAAACAATGTTAAAGTGTAACACTCTGTCAGCATTTAACTTCTAGATCAATAAGCTCAGGATGATCAGTGTAGGGTCTGTTGTTTTATGCAATTTAGTTTGCCATTCTAAATAAGGGTTCAGTTGTTTCTGAGTCAGCTTAGTTATTTTACGAAATTTGATTTCAAATGCTCACTGTTTCTGAGTTTGAGAAATTCGCAAGCCTGCCTATGGGTTTCAAAAATTTTTTCACTGTTTTTAGACCAGGGATGCGGAGTCCCAAAAAGGACTACGGATTTGAAAGTCTCAAAAAGAATACTTCATCCTAAGTTTTGGTATCCAGGAGCTCTAAAAATATAAATAAGTTTATGGACTACTAATAGGAAAAAGACTTTTAGGTTAGAGGAACAATCATTTCTTAAACCCGTAGTCGTTAGGTATAATGGCGGCAAGGACTTTGGGACTCCAGGACTCCGGGCTTAAAAACAATAAGTTTCGAGTTATTAAATCTCATGAATTTTTTTCTTATAGCAGATCATATATCAACAAACATAATTAGAGCTTCTGGACACTACAGACTTAGAAAACATAGAGATATAAAGTCCTTTTGGGACTCTGCATCCCTGTTTTAGACTTTCATATTACTGTTTAATTGTCCAACATTTAGGAAAATGATTGCTGCCCACAATGTTACAATTTTTATTAGATAAGGCCGAGGCTGCTGAATTAAGTGATTGTTGAGGAATCAATGAAAATAAAATTTATCAGTATACTAAGTAATTGTTCAGGCCATGATGATTGAGAAGTGTGCAGGCAGGTGCATTTTAAGGAGTGCAGGTGCATGCTTGTGCTAGCCTCCATGTCTGTGTAAGTCAGTTTACCAAGCAAACTAAAGCTTGTGCAATATACCAATTTTTTTTTTTTTCGTAGCATAAAAGTTTGTTAAAGTTTTTTAGGTTTGTACTTTACTTACATAAACAAAAATAATAAAAACCAGATAGTGCATTTAAAATTCTCTTCAATAAGTATTATATAATTATAGTTTTAAAAAAATGTTCATTCATTATTACGTTTTTGTAACCATCTTACTGTGATTTTTAAACTTTTCAAATTAGAATAAAAAATTTCTTGAAGAAAAAGAGTAGTGAATAAAGTTTTTATATATGAAAATAGAAAATATTTATAAAATAATTGTTTAATTTAAAAAGGATCTAAATAAATACTAAAATAGAAAAGTATATTTTTTTTCAAATGCATTTTTTTTTCACAATTTTTTCTAGAAAATGTTATTATGCTTGAATAAATTAATATTAAAAAAGTAACTGTTGCTGAAAATTGTTTCTCTGTTGCTGAAAATTGTTTCTCTGTTGCTGACAATTGTTTCTCTGTTGCTGACAATTGTTTTTCTCTGATGCTGACAGTTGTTTCTCTGATATATTTATGATATGATAACAAATATTACAGTTCAATTAACAAAACTATCACTGTTGTAATCAATTATCATAATTATTTTATTTTCTCCATGAGCTTTTTTATCTAAACATCGAAAAATGAGACCAATTTCTTGTTTCTGATAATTGACATTTATTACACAAGAAAAATTATTTAAAAAACTTTAACCGCGTCAATTAACATCATAAAGAGTTTACTAATGTAATTAAAATACTTAAAATTATTATTGCTGGTAAGTATTCTTTTATAATCGAACTTTCTAATTGTTTTATTTTATTACAAGTTTTTTTTGATCATCCTTAAATTATTCAACTTTAAAATTAGTTATTAGCAAAGCAAAAAAGATAATAAGTTTTCCCTTGCAAAGTCTTATTTTAAACAAAAAATTAAAATAGCTGGTTAACTTTAATGAAAATTTCTGTGCAAGTGAAAATAATCTTCTATTTTTATTTATGAAATAAATTTAGCGCTGTGTAATTTATGGACAAACTTTAAAAAAAAAATCAAAAATGCAATGGTGAAATTATTGTAAAAAATAAAATAAAATAAAGAGAAGCAGAGCAATTTTTTAATTTGTCAGCTTAATAGGAACAGCGCTTCCCCTTACTTAAACCCCTGATTATAGCTCACTTAAACAACAACAGGCTTCCACAGGAAGACGTGCGATTTCATGTCTTTATATGACCACGCAAAAAAAAAATATTTTAACGATTTGACTATGGCATACTTTTAAAATTTAAAAACGTGCTACAAAAACTTACCTAAACTTATCTGAAAAAAATTTTTTTTTAAATAATAAATATTAACAAAAGATAAAATAAAAAAAATACTTAGTTAAAGCAAAAACAAGAAAAAATAAATACATATATATAACGCAACTAAAACAAAACTCATCAAACTAAAATGCTTAGTCTATTTAATTTACGCATTAAAAAACCTTTTCGATATTTGTTTCAACATTTTTATATATTTTTTATTTGTTTAATATGTTCAAAAGTTAAATATTTCTCATGAAAAATACATAGTTACATAAATAAAATAAAAAAATATTTTATAAATACTTTTTTTTAAATTAATTAGAAGTGTTTGTTTTTTTTTACTTCATTAAAAGCATTTCGATAATATAAAAGCATTTAAGATCAAACTTATTAAATTGTAACGGTTTTCTAAAACTTTTTTTTTAACGAAATCTTTTTAAATGCATTAACTTTAATCATTCTTATATTTAAATTCGTTAAAGAGACTTTTCTTTAAACTTTTTTTTTTTTGAATTAGCCGCGGTCAAACCGTCATAGCAAAATGTAACTTGCGTGGACATACAAAGACGTGAAATCGCACGTGTTCCTTTGAAAGCCTGCAACAATAATTATTGTATTTGTAGAAAAGACAAAGTGATGTAACCTTATCACAATGAGACAGAGATTCAAACTTAGCAGGTAGAGTCAGTTTGAAACAATCAAAAGGTGATGACTTTTTTTCAACAATGGAGTATATAGTTGTGTCATCAGCAAGTAAAGCCTCTTTAAACTTTATCACAAAGATCATTAATATGAAGTGACTGGGGCCCTGGCCCTGGCTAAAAATAAGATTGGGATTGATAGCCAGGACTAGAAAAAAATTTTAATAATTTTTGTATTATAAATAATACTTATATTTACTATTTATTAAATACTGGCATATATCTATATATTTTTAATTTATAATTTACTTCAACAAAAATTGCAAGCAACCACTATTAAGTTATAAGTTACTTAAAAACAGAAGATAAGTTAAAATATTAGGAAACCGTTAACTGAATACCTAAAAGGTTGTAGGTTGTATAAAAAAGGAAAATATAAAGATAGGTAAGAGTTATAAGGTTTACTTATAACTCTTACCCATTCACAACTTTATACTCTTGTCAAGACAAGAGTATAAAGTTTAGTCTTTAGGAAATAGAGCCACTTTAAATGTAAAATTTTCATGAGAATTGTTATTGTAGATAAGAAATAATACAGGAGCAAAGATAGAACCTTGTGGTACCCTTAAAGTTACCTGAAATAAAGAAGAGTTTAGGCATTCATGAATAACTTTAATACTGCAATTAAAAAGAAATATTTTAATAATCTCAAAAACTTTATATTAGCAAACTAATAACAGAGTGAAGACTAATTTTAGGATAGTTTTAGAGGTCAAAGTGTTTTCTAGAGTTTTGAAAACTTGAACTTGAAAGTTGGAACTACTTAATTAGCACTTTTTAAAAGTTTAGCAAAAAAAGAAGATTCAAAAAAATTAGGAGATTTCTGGGGAACACTTTTTTAAGACTATAATGGAAATCTTATCTGAAACACAAACTGCAGAAGTGTTTAATTGAGAATTAACTTTAGCATTGGAAGCCAGAGTGATTGTTTAACAATAGGTTAATCTGTTTAACTAGAAGAACTGAAGAATATGGCCATTAGATTCAAGAATCAAATAAGATCAATCAATATATTTTTCACAAAAATAGATATCATTTACAATATAGTATAAATATTACAATAATATTTTTGTGAAGGGACAATGTAAACAGTACAAGACTAATTCAAAGCAGAGACCTTATAAAACAAAACAAAACAAAAAGACCTTGTAAAAAAAAAGAAAAAACCCCGAAACAAACAAACAGAAAGAAAAAAAAAAAAACTAATAATAATAAAGAACTCCCCAAAAATGGAAAAAAAGAAAGAAAAAAAACTACTACTACTACTAATAATAACAATACAACAGACAAACACAACAACTAAGGAACAAAAATTAAAGTTATTTATATATAATAATAATACTAAAACTAATAAAAATAAGTACGTAATAATAAATACAATAGATAACAATAAAAATAATAGTAAGTGATTAAAATAATGAAATAATAAATAATAAAGGTTAATAGTATGAATAAAGGTAGAAGCAAATGAAGTATTATCGAGTAAAGAGAAAAATCATTGGATTAGAGTTGAAGATAATAGAATAAAGAGAAAGAAAAAAAACTAATACTAACTAAAGTTTTAATACAAATGCCAATAAATATAATAAAAATACTAAATATAGAAATATTAATTAAATCTAGTATAAACATTGAGTATGGTAACTATGGTAATAATACTCTTTTATTTTAAGTATAGTTGTCAAGACAGCTTTGTTTAATTTTACTTAAAAAGGCATATCTTGAATTTGGGTTTTCAGTTTTTATGTAGTGAGGGAGATTCCACTCATTGGCGCATTGATGCTTTATAGAGTTTTTACCATATATTATTGTTCGACTGTGTTCAACAAATATATTTTTGCATGATGAGGATCTAAGGAGACAGGAGTGTTTGGAACTGGTTATAGTAGAAGAAAGAAGTGTAAGTAATTAGGAGTCTACCATGCAAGTAATCCCATACAAAGGTACAATTCATAAGTTTGATGTTGTCGTGAAGTTTTATAACCTGTGATAATTTATATAACAACAAGACACTTATGAAATTCTGAAAGTGGATGATTCTAATGGCTTTATTTTGTAGTGAGGAAATATTTTAAAGGATTGATTTTTAGTTTGTCCCCAGATCTGGCAACCATATTGTATGTGAGATCCAAATATGGCATAATAAATACTGGTTACAGTTTCTAAGTTGACAAAGTGCCTTACTTAGGCCAACATACCAATAGATCGACTCAACTTTGACTGTAAATACGTGTGGTGGTATTTAAAAGAAAGATTTTCATCCAGCATTATTCTAAGATACCTTCCTGATTTTGAAGAATTTAGTATCTCTCCATTAATATAAAAGTTTAATTGCTTATTAATTTTTTGACTTTTGGTTTTAAAGACTACTATTTGGGTTTTTTTAGCATTAAGTGAGATTTTATTAGCTCCAGCCATTAGAGAACTGATGCTATGGCCTCATTAGTTTTATCTTGAACTTTTTCAGCAGTCTTCAATTATAAGCAAACTAGTGTCATCAGCAAAATGGTAAGTATATACAATATTGAGGCATGTGTTTAATTCATTAATGTATACCAAGAATAGAAGAGGCCCAAGGATAGATCCTTGAGGGATTCCTGAATTAATAGGCTGGATTGATGAGATAGTTTTATTTATAATTACAAATTGAAGTCTATGGTTTAAAGATTTGAACCAGTTAAGAGGAACTCCACGAACTCTATAATATGCTGATTTGGCAAGAAAGATACCATGGTTTAACGTGTCGAATACTTTCTGCAAGTCAATAAACACAAGCAACCACGAGCAAATTTATTTTCATCAGGGCTTTTTGGATAATCTCTGTAAAGTCAATAAGTGCATAGGTAGTTGAATGTCTAAATCCATATTGTAATTTATAAATGCAATTAAAAGTCTCCAAATACTTATATAGTCTTACGTGCATCATTTTCTTAAATATTTTTCCTAAATTAGACATATCATTTAGGATATTTTGTTAGTCGAAATAGTGATGTCGCGTCAATTAATTTTTTTAGCAATTATTTAATTAATTAAACCTTATCATTTACAAATAATGTACAACTTTTAGTTTCTAGAGGCTTCAATTCTAAAAAACATATCAGCAATTGTGTCAAAAAAACATATCAGTAATTGTGTCAAAAAAACATATTGGCAATAAAAACATATTGTATCAAAAAAACATATTGGCAAATTATGTTAAAAAAGGCAGTTATGCTAAAATGATTATTTAACTGTCTGTCATTGTGCTTGATACATTTAAGATGTATCAAGCACGATGTCATAGTTGAAGGTAATGTCAACTACAACATTTATCAATAGAAAGTAAAAGAAAATATAAATAAATTGAAGCTATACACTGCATTTAATGTATGGTTTTCATAATCATCAGTTTTCCCTCCAAGTAATTGGTCCTCAGCAGTAACTTGATATTTGTTATTTAACATTAAGTGAACATGATTGTTGAGTGTTCTAGCTCTTTTGATTGGTTGTGTTAAACTCGAGTTATAACAACTTCAATTCTTTTGAGTTTTATAAAGTTAACAACTATTTAAAATCTTAACTCAATCATTAAACTTATTTTACTATTTTTTGATAAAATTATTTTATTAAACTTAATGTTTTTCGATAAAATTATTATCAAATGGTATCAATTAAAAAATAATAAATTTGGCAAACATTTTAATACAACTAGTAGTGTATTAAATATAAAGCAGAAATATAGCAACTGTTTTGCACATAAAGGTGCAGCGACAATCGTATATTTAAAAATAATAAAATTTAAGCTTAGGAAGATGTGTATTTTTTATGTAAAACTAAATTTCAAAGTAGGGTTGCTTTAAAGCACTTTTTTTTTTAATTAGAAAATATCTTGGTACCTAAATTTTCACATTTTAGTTTTACTGAAATGAAATAAAGTTAAATACGTATAAAATATTTCAGTCTTTATATATCAGACTCTCATAATGAGTGCAGTGCCAAATTGAAATTTTTGACTTTGCCTACCACCATAAAAGCTAATGCATTAATATAAGAACTTATTTGAGTGCTTTATTGTTATTTAATTTGTTCTTCATTTTTAATCTTTGAGTAATTCTTAAAATATGTTGAAAGCTAAGAATAGATATTTATCCATCACTAGTCTTTCTGTTTATATTGGACCTGGGAAGAAATTGATTTCTAGTGAACTGAAAAGAAGAACTAAAGCAAAAGTAAAAGAATAACTTATATTAAAGTTAGAAAGAGGGCATATTCATGTGAAACATCCAGCGTGTGCAACCTCAAGTCTCAAATCTTGCTCATTTTTACACTACTACAAGATTTTAATGAATCCCCAAATTTTTATCGCCTGATTTTCTTTAAAGATGTTGTTCTAAATAGTTTAGAGTTATTACTAAGTGTTGGCCAGTTGTCTTTTCTAAAACAAAAAAAAAGTAAAACAAAAAAAAAAACTTGATCAAATCTACTTAAATTTATTATTTATAAAACAAGAATTATAAAAAATCAAAAAAAAAAAGGCGATAACTTGACAGTAATGTAACTGAATCATATCAAATTGTTTCTTTAGTTGTTGTTAGCTTGCTTTGTTTTAAATTACAAAATACTTAATACAATAGCTTAATGTGAATTTGATGTCATAAAATTCTCTTTATTTTTTTATTTTTTAAAAACATTAATTTTTTTAAATTACTGCAATAATATTAAATACTGCAAAACGAGTTAAATGTTATTTAACTTCTTTTTTATTATTACTATAAGGGAATGTTTATTTTATTTTATTTTTTTAAATATTAAGTAATAAAATTTAATATTATATTTTTAAAAATGTTTAATATTAACAAATTTCTTTCTTTTCTCTACATTTGCATAAATGAATTAAAATATGTTAAATTTTTGAACTTTTAAATGATTATTTCTTAAATTTCTAATTACAGCTTTGCAACTGCAAATGATTTTTTATTTAAAAAAAATAACAGATAAAAAATAGTAACAAATAAAAAAATTACATTAATTTTTTTACTTTGTTTATTAAAAGTTTATTATTTTATTAACGATTTTGTTGTGAAAGCAAAGATTATTTTTCCAAACAAATTTTAATAAACTTAAATATATTTTTTAAATCAAAATTAAATTATATATTTTTTTATCAGAATAAAATTATATTATTATGATCTTTGCTTTAAGTCTAAAGTATTAGCTTATAGAATAATTTAAAAGCAAAAAAATTATAAGAATTACGTAAATTCACTTAGGGCGTACGTAAATTGCTCTATGTGTAACGCTTTAAAACAAGGCCTGATACACAAACTGAGCATCTGATCTTTTTTTTCATCTTAATTTTGTTTTACACATTTTTTCAGCAAAAATTAATATGTGAATTTATATTTTAAAGCAGATTTTTCAACAAATGATTCCCAGATGATGCGTGAAATCCACTGGAGTGCACAAAGTTCACAAAATTCTATCAATAGAAAACTGTTCAACGAGACTCGTGGTATTTATATTTGAATTAATAAGTAAATCTATAATATAATGTAGTTTTTAATAAAAATTTTACATGCATTTGAGCATTTAAGTTTAAAGTTATATTTAATTTATAAGAATATATATTTTTTATCAATGGTTGTAGCTTTTACAAATAGTATGATTACCTGGTTAACATTATAAAAAGTTTCTTTTGTAATTTCTGAAGTAGATTAAAGTAACTTATATTAAGACAGTAAAGTATTTTCTAACAAAAAAATATTGATTTATATAACTTTTTGTGCACTCAAGATATTGAGTGCAAAAAAAGCTCTTGAAGACAAAGTTTTTATCTTTGTGATTAGAAAAAAAATCAGTCATTAGAGTGCATATCAACTTTTGTCTATTATATGATTTGCTGTCAAAAGAAACAAAAAAATAAAAATATTAACAAATACCCTATAGGGTATTTAATAAAACAGAATCCCTAATATCACATGTAAAATCATATGAAGAAACAAGTGGTCAAATACATCAAATACAAAAGTAAATTTTTTATAATTGCATAAAATATTTTTTGTAAATCAAATGGAAAACTTTTATTTTTTCATAAGTTTTGTTAGGATGAAGACAAATGGCAACCAATAATTTATCTTTCAGAAAATGTAACTTAGTTAAACTTCGAGATTTGTTATAGAACTAGTAAGTAGCGAGTGTCAGTACAAAGTAATACAAAGGAAGCTACAGCTCTTACAAATTCTTTGCTCTTTAACATTAAACATCTTTTAAAAAAAGATGTTGATATCAATAAAATTTTGATTGACAAGTGTAAGTTTGATAATGCTAAATTAAGAATAAAGATTATTAGTGGAGATTATTAGAACAAAAAACTCAATTAATTTAGAACTAATTTGACTCGTAGTACAATACCTTATTTCTACAGGTTTAGTTCTTGCTATTCAGTGTTTTACAAGAACATAAAGGTATGGAAAATGTGCAAGCTTCGTGATAATTTTTTGTTAATACTGGACCAATAAATTGCTTAGTGGTATAATTAAAAGAGTACTTAAAAAGAAAGTTACACCTAATTCAGGCTTTCACAGGAAGGTGTGCGATCGCACGTCTTTATATGATTACGCAAAAAATAATGTATTAGCGATTTGACCGTGGTTTTTGACATATTTTCAAAATTTAAAAATGCGCTACAAAAACTTACCTAAACTTATCTAAAAAAAATTGTAAAAAGAAAAAAAATCGTAACGAAAGAGAAAATAAAAAAAGTACTTAGTTAAAGCAAGAACACAAAAAAATAAATATATATAAAACCCAACTAAAACAAAATTCATCAAACTGCTTAGTCTATTTAATTTATGCATTAAAAAACCATTTCAATCTTTGTTTTAACATTTGTAATTTTTTTTATTTATTCAATATGTTTCAAAAGATAAACATTACTCATAAAAAATACATAATTATATAAATAGAAAAAACAATAGTTTATTAACACTTATTTTAAAAATTAATTAAAAGTGTTTTGTTACTTCATTGAAAAGTCTTTCGATAATATAAAAGCATTTAAGATCAAACTTATTTAATTGTGACAGCTTTCTTAAACTTTTTTTTTTTCAACGAAATTTTGTTTATCTTTTTAAATGTATTAGGGGGGGGTAGCAGACAAAAAGTGTCCTATTTTTAAGCTAATTTTAGGATGTATAAAATGGGAGGAGGAAATAATAAAAAAAGGGGGAGGATTTACAATGAAAGTTTTATTATTTATTGGTTACCAATATATATATTTTTTAATTTTAAGGCCAATTTTCACTGAATTTTTGTTTTGAGATATAGTTTTTTGTTTATAACAAGTGACTTGTTATAAACAAATAATACGATTTTCAAAATCAGCCCCATATCGCCCATGCAACCTAAAATTAGTTTAAAATCAGGACACTTTTTGTCTGTTAACCAAAGCCCCTCCGCCCAGGGTTGGAAAAAACCCAGGGTTTTTTAAAAAAACCCAACCCAAATGGGTTTTATTGGGTTTTTTTAGGTTTTATGGGTTTTTTGGGTTTTTTTAAAAATCGATCAAAATACCAAATTTTTATAATTTGTATGAGTACAATAATTTTTTTTTTTTTAATTTCATAAATTCACCTCCCTATTGCTCCAATGACCATTTAAGTCAAGGTAGCAACTCATTTTTTAAAAATATTTTGTCTCAATCCTTAATATTACCATTTTTACTAACAAACAACATTAACAACTAAAATTTTTAAACAAAGGCGCTGTGTGGAGAAATAGATTGAAACAGTAATTTCAGCAGAGGTAATTTGAACCCCAACCTTCTGGTTGTGAGCCAAATGTTTTGCTACTAGTCTACTAGCACATTTTACCTATAGTGCAAAAAGGGGCTTCATCAACTATAAATGATGTTAATTAATTGCTCTAAATTAAAAACATGTTCTGAATATTTTTGACTAAAATAAAATCAGTGTAAAAATCATGACAATTGAGTTATTCAAAGTTGGTAAGACAATATAAATGTTGCAAACTAGTTTTTTTTACTAACATGTTCAACATATCATTTCAAAAACTACTTTGCACAAGTTTACAACGTGTAATCAACAAGTTTGCAACATGATGTTGCAACCTTATAAGTTATTATCAATCAGGATGACTATGAACACTTTTTAAACATTTTTGTATCATAGAAGAAAACTGCTAGCCTAATCACTACATTTTTTTTTATCAGAACATTATACTGTCCAGCTTCCTGGAAAAGTTATCGGCCTGATCAACTGGACTGGCAAAAAATGGATTTTTGCCTAAACTTTGTTTCTAAATATATATAAAGTAAATTTTTTAAGAACCATACAGTGTCTTCGCCACCAAGTTTTTTTTTTTTCCTTGAAGATGTTTTACCGGCTCAGTTTTGCAATGCAAATTGCAAACTGAATCAAAGTAACACATTATATAGCTCTATTGTGTGTGTGTTTCTTCACCTTTTAGCAACTTGATACTGATGTTAATTTTTAATCCACTGTTCATAGTCACCCCTGTTGGTGGTACATGTTGTAAACTTGTAGCTAATGCAAAATATTCAAAACCTGTCAAAAGACAGATGAGCACGAGTGTCATTTTTACCAACAAATCTTGTCCTTTTGAAATGCATACAAGTTTTCAACATGTTCTCTCATTGAATGAGCAAACATGTTGCAAGCTTGCTTGCACATAACTTAATTTTTTTTTAAGTTGTATGCACTTAAGGACAAATCTAGTAAACTGTAGTATTTTTTTTTGCCTGACAACTTTCCATTTCTAAACTGTAAATAAAGTTTAATAATTTTTATGTATAGTATTTTGCTTGTGGCTTTGTATTTTTTTGTGTGCAGTTAACAACATAAAAAAAAAAAAAGATCAAATACCAATATAAAGGAATATAGACATTCGGGAGGAGAATAAAGATACTAAATAACTAGTAATGTCTTGAAATTTAGTTAATAGAATGATTTTTATTTCCTTTATAAGTATTTAACTAATTTAATGTTTTAATACATATTTCAATAACATTTATAATAACTTGCTAAATGTTTTAAAAAAATAATAAATAACCAACTTGCTACAAAAACAGATTGATCAATTTTGGGTATATTCTAAAGACCATTATGTATATAAATACAGTGTTTACAAGAGTAGTTACAGTATAAAGGTTGCACTTGCTGATAATAAAGCATTTATAAGTGTTAAAATCAGAGATATCAGTTGTAAAATAGGTCATTTTTAAAAAAACCCAAATATATTTTGGGTTTTTTTGGGTTTTATTGGGTTTTTTTAAGGTGGGTTTTTTTGGGTTTTTTTGGGTTGGGTTTTTTTGCCAACCCTGCCTCCGTCCCCTCCCCCGCAGTTTCGCCACTGAGAGTAGTACTGACATTTACTTAAAACTAAAAACAGAGGTGTTCAATTTAATAAATTTTACTTATAAAGAAGTATATTTAGAAATATATTTTTTTGTCTTTACTTTTATTATGATTTAATTGATTAAATAATAAAACAAAATTTAAGTTTTTAGCCTCCTCCCCCCCCTCCCCTTTTAATATAGATTTAATAAGAAAATTACCAGTTTTTTTATTGGTTGATTTTAAAGTGAACGCGCGTTTTTTCCGGACCGTTAGTAAGATGTTTAAAAATGCTAAACTGTTTATAAAAATATGTATTCATAAAAGTTGCTGAGGTTTTTAACATTGTTTAAATATCCATTGTATTTTTTCAAGATGCATTACTACTTTAATTAAAGTTTGGAATTACTTAACTAAATCATTTTTATTTATAATATCTTGATTATGTGTTGTTTGATCAAACAATAAACTATAAATGTAACATAAAAGAGTGTTATAAAAGTAACAACACTGTAGTATTAATACTTTTGTAGTCATAAATTTAATGTTTTGTTTTTCATAACATTTTCACAAACAAATTAAAGTTTATTCGCCTATTCCGTAAATTTCGTGGTTTTCCATAAACTGAAACTTTGAAGACCAGATAATTTAACAGATATCGCAAATCGCGATGCGTTAATTCAACCCTTGGAATGTCATCATTTATAAAAAAAAAACAATTTTTTATTTTTTAATAACATTTACTATAGAAATGCACACTTAAATAATTTATATATTATAAATTAAAAAAATATATACAACTGTCAATTATATTTAAAAAAAAAACATCAGTAAATTGTTACTTTATTTAAATGTGTTTCACTAATATAAAAACATTTGTTAAGAAGTTTTGATGTAATTAGTTTCACTTTTTCAGAATATTTAGCGTGTTTTTAAAATGTTTTTTGAATTAGCTGCGATCAAATCTTCTTAGCAAAATTTGATTTGCCTAGTCATATAAAGACGTGCAATCGCACGCCTTCCTGTGAAAGCCTAGAATTGGATGCATAATACATTAAACTTCTGTTAAAACTTTTTTTAAAAAAAATTAAATGATGGTGCAATTGGGCTACATAGTAGGCTACTTAGCATGCAGTTTTATTTACATACTTCTAAATGAGAAAAGCCTTTGAATTATTTTTTTGGTTTTGTTGTAGAAATATTCCTAAGCTTGCAAGAAAGTTGTGAAGAAGAAAAACCAACTTTAGATGTGTGAGTTTTTATTTTGTTTTTAAGAATAAAATTATTGAAAAGTTCAACAGGTTTTTTTAAGAAATTTTTTGATTTATTTAGTTTGTTGAAAATAAGCCACCAGTATAGAGCTGTTATTCAGTCATGTGTTGTAAAATTAAGAGAAAAAATAAGTAAGTTAATGTTATTGTTGTTAATAATTGTCATCATGATCATGATTATGATCACAATGAACCATTATTTTCAGATGATCAGATGATGATTATTGTCATAAGCATGATGATGATGATTGTGGATAATGATGCAGTGTTTTTATTGCTAATAAACTTATTACATAAATATTTGTTTGTTACCATGAGTTTAAAAGTTTTTTAATATATTTTTTGTCTTTAGAACTAGAAAGAGATAAAGTGATTTCTGAAGATATGAAAACACAGGTTTGGGATCATTCTTAAATTATAGAACGCTAAATTTCACAAAAGCTTAAAATCTTTTACTTCGGTTTTTTAAATAAATTCAAGGTTGCATAATATATAGACCTTTATAAAAAAATATAGTTTATTTGTAACTAATACTTTACTTAAAACCTTTTGTGCAAACCAAAGAGTATTAATCATTTTAAAATTTATAGAAACATTAAATATTTATAGAAATATTTATTATACCTTGTAAAAGATTTTTTTAAAATTTATTATCTAGTTAACAATAAAGTCAAAAGATTTTTTTTTTTTACTTAGTTGTAAATATTTGAGCATTTACATATATATAACAATAGAATTAAATAAATTCTGTTTGCATTATAATGGTCAATGTTGGTAGATAAAAAAAAACTCTTATATAATAGTGGTTGCTTGCACCCTCGTTGGGAATGAATTAGTATAAACAAAAATAAAAATTTTATAAATAAAATATAATATTCATAAACGTTTACATGCAACATTAAATAAATTTCACATATTAATATGTAAATTTTTTATGAGTTTACTCATTTAGATACTTATTTAGATCTAACCATAATTGAAACCCCTGGTTATTATTGTGAAACAGTTAGAGTCAATGCCCAGGGGTAGATTTTGTCCATGACTGAGTTTAGTATAATAAAGCTGAGGGTGTAATCAGAGCCGATACTTATTAAATGTTGATAAATCATAATTTTTGTGTTTATTACACCTCTTATTATCAAAAAAATTTGCAACCTTAATATTGAAAAAATAAAATTTAATGTATTAATAAATTTTATTTAATTAAGTTATTTATGTTAATTCTACCATTATTTGAAAATTAAAGAGAAATTTTTTTATGATGCATATTAGAAAACTGAACACTTTTTATGCAAAATAAATGTGTTACTTTTAGGTTATTGTTAACATGAAACTTTTTTGTTTCGTAAACATAACTTGTTATTTACATAATCTTAAGTTAACAAGATTATTATGTTTACAATTTTTAAGTTAAAATTTATAAAAAACTTAGTTGCAAAGGATGTAAGTTCACATATTTTTTAAGGTTTTATTTTTAAAAAGACAAAAAGAAACTGTAATATATATAGTAATATTTTAAATTTATAATAACGTAAATATAATTGGGTTTTTAATAATTATTTGATTATTGAAATGGAATTGGTATCACCTCAATAAAACAAAAATTTACAGAACAATTTATTAAGTTGGTGTTGTCTTAAGGTGACCTATGAAAATTTTTGTAAAATACATACTTATTCAAACCGTTGTACTCCATAATAAAAGATCATAAAAACTTAATAAAATGTCCTACTGCATGCTCTAAAATGTATATAACTGATGATATCTTTGCAATGTGGTGTTAAAAAAAAAACATTTTAAATAACTTTGGCGTCCTTGGAAGAGTTTATGACATTTAATTATGGATGTGAATTAAAATAAAAAAAAATTTGGTTGCTATTACATATTAATTATTTAATTTTAAATTTTCACCAATGCTTTCACTGCACCCTGTTAAATATTTTTCTCTTATAAAAAGTTTTCTAAAAAATTTATATGAAAATATCTTGTGTATTCTTTTAAAGCAGATTTTTTTAAAACTAATTCACTTTCGACAAGTTTACTGAGCAACCACTATTTAAATTAGAAGTTACCAGAGAATGAGTTTCTTTTGTTGCATTGATGTGCGAGAAAAGAAACTAGACAATAGTTATTATAGCTTGGAAGGACAGATACAGTAAAAGCATGCAATTTTGCTGAATGAAAAGTCAAGCACAAATAGGTTTTTGTTGATGGAACTAGACATTTTAGCTTGCTTGAACAGCAATCGTAATAGTAAAAATGTGAAGGAGATGCAATCTTGCAGCAATGTGATAGGAAACTCCATTTCTATATGAAATACTATATTTCTATTCTGAAGCTAATTACAATTGCATTATGTTTACAGATCGAACTACATTTGCAATACATTTTTGGATTTTATCAAGAAAATAGAGAGGGTATTTTTAGAAGTACCAGCCCAACAGTAGAGTAAAAAAAAGAACTATATAGGGGAAAATAAGAGATTAACATAGAGAATGGAATCAGGAGTATGGAAATTACAAGCACGATAATGAGAGGCTTATCAGATGCTAACTTTACAATAATGTGAAAACTTAACGGAAAAATAAAAAGCATTTTAGTTATGGCAAGTATACCTAGACTATTTACCTGAGGTTGACAAAATGACCAAATTTATTCTGAGCAAGTTCCTTTGTTGGTTACTACACTCAACACTGTTAAATGAGGGAACTATGAACTAAAAATTTTAATGAACAGCATTTTAAATTGTATTAAAATTTCGTGATAAAATCATGACATGAATAAATTGAAAGATAAAATTATTCAAATTACAATTATTTTAATCAGTTAATAAATTACTTGACAATAAATTAGAGACTACCATAAACAGCTAAATAATTATCAAAAAAAGATTTATTTTTATATATTATTATTATTATATTTATATATTATCATATTATTTATATATTATAGTTTTAAGATTTAAAAAAAAAACAATTAAGAGTATAAATCAAATTAACTATAAAGGTTAATTATTCTTTACATATCCTTAAGTTGCAAATTAAAAATTGTTGTTAAGAATAAAGAATAAAAAATAATAATAACAATTACTAAATGGTACTTAATTCTATAATGGTTAAAACTAAGAAAAAAATTTATTTGAAAGAAATTTGAAAACAGGACTCGCAACTGTAGAAAATAAATGTTTTTTGTTCTTTTTTTATTTTTAAATAAACATAAAACCAAGAGTTTTATGTTTTGTTGATACATATATATATATATATATATATATATATATATATATATATATATATATATATATATATATATATATATATATATATATATATATATATATATATATTAATAAATTATTTTTGTAATTTATATCTCTCATTTCAAATTAATTTTGACAAATTTTTTAGCTGGATTTGTTAATTATTATGGAATTGTTGTGGCATTTATGCGAAGGCCTTTTTATTGAATCTCAAGCAGGTAAGATTTTATCTGTTACTTTTGGTAGTTTAACTTTTGGTTTAACATTATATTGCTTTTTATATTTAATTGGTTGAGTGTAAATATAACTCAAGCTTATTATATGTTTATTACTTTTTACTCTTAGTTTTAAAATGATATAGATGGTTATTACTTTTTAAATTATTAATATCAAAACCCTTTTTTTGTTTCAAAAAAACTTTTTTTTTCCTTCATAGCAAAGCTTTAATTTTTAATATAGAACCCATCCCTTCTCCTTTTTTTGGGTTTTTTTGTTTTTGTTTTAATGAAATCCTTTTTTTCATAGTAAACCCTTTCTTTTATATAAAAACTTTTTTTTGATTGTTTTTAATCAATAGAGCAAGTTCAAGATCAAGTTTTAGATATTTTAACTTATTTGAAAAGATTTTTGCATTTTAATCTTTTAATATCATGTAATAGTTTATTCTCAATATGTTTAGACAATTACATATTGTTAGACATATTAAAGGAACAAAGGGTTTTGGTTGGTTACCATTGTTTGGTAGTTTTGATTGGTTACTAGTTTTGTTTGGTAGTTTTGATTGGTTACTAGTTTTGTTTGGTAGTTTTGATTGGTTACTATTGTTTGGTAGTTTATAAATTAAATCTGAGGAAAAGTATAACATTTCATTATTCTGATATTTAGGAGGTTATTGCATGAAGCCATTGTTGAATTGGGTTAAGTGGCATTTTGATGGAATAAACCATTCTGTTCATTTACTCCTCAGTACAGATGATCCATATAGTGACCCAATATATTGGAATACTGTAAGAATTTTTTTTATTATTAATTTTTTTGAGTCAATCCCAATGGCTTTGTGAAATAAAAGAATTAAAGTCCTAATTTCAACAAATAAGTTATTTGAATTTAAAGTAATTTTTGGTGTTAACAACAATTAAATTTATCAACAGTATTAGTATGATGTTAGCAAAAAGCATTAGGGGTCGTCCATAAAGTCCATCGTCGTCCATCGATTTAAAAGTACATACTTCGGTTTTCTAATTTTACATAATTAACCTGCTAGTCAATAGAAAAGTTAAAATTCTGATTAGAGGTCCTAGTTTGCCAACATAAAAAGATGTATTGTATAGGGAGTAGAAGGTATAGTTTCTCTCTATGCACACACATACATGGGCGTCCCCAGGATTTTTTGATGTTCCAGATAAACCACTTCCACACACAAAAATTGTTATGGCGGTAGTCTGGGAACAAAAAAGCCCTCAAATGCTTGCATCCCCTACCCTGCCCAAAAGTGAGGGCACTAATGTAGTAAAATTTTCCGACCCCCTCCCCCCAAAAAATAAAATAAATGAGGGGCTGCACATTTTGCATCGACATAACCTTTGTAATTTACAATATTTTTCAACGAAATTTAAAATCTGTCGATAAATTTGAATTTAGTTTTAGATTGTTAAGTTAAAAAATTTACTACATAAGTGCCCTCACGTTTGACCAGGGAGGCAAGCGTTTCAGGGCTATTTGTTGACAGGTCTCCGCCATCCCAATTTTTTACAAGGTCTCCTCATTTGACATAGGTATAAACATACTTAAGTTTGGAGTTTGCACAATTTGTGAAAGTGTCCTATCTGGAACATCAAAAAGTCCTGCATGCCAAGGGCTGTCCTGAGGGGGGCACAGAGGAGGTGTTTTTTTTTGGTTGGCAAATTGGAATTGGAGTCGGCAAACTTGGATTTTTTTATTTTTTTTTTAGGTAAGTTAGCAGGGGGAGGGGGTGTCAAATTTCAAAATTTTTGACATACGTACTTTATGGACAACCCCATACATAAAACAGGCCTGGGGTTTACTTCTTTGCTTGCTTACTATCACTTTTTTTTTTTAATTTTTTGCTTATTTGCTAAGCTATTAGTAATAAAAAGTAAAAATATTTAGTAAATCAGCAAAGGGTTTTTTATTAATGATACACAATTAACCTTAGCACATTTTAATAAATTCTGTAACTTGTATGAGTTAAAATTGTATATAAATCTTATTTTAAAATCTGCAGATATATGGCTTAGTGTTACAAGGAAGATTATCAGATGTATGTGATCTTTTAAAACATCATCCGTATCGAGATGAAGGAAGGTTTGATGTAAGGTTTTCTTTGTGTAACACAAACGTATCATTAATTATTACATTTTTAATTTATAATTAATATACATTTAAATATTTATTTCTAAATAAATTCTGCAGCAGTTATTTTAATAAGATTTAGTTTTTAGTGTCCTTTATAAAAAAATATTTGGTTCTGAAATAAAAATAAATTATGATCATTTATTATTTATATAATAAATGATCCTCTATTATGAAATAATTTTGTCTAATGATTTCAAAAAAAGAAAATAATTCTGGTCAATATTAAAATGATTTGTGTTTAGGCGTTTGAAAATATTGAAGAGTTGATGACAAAAATGCCGCTACTCCAGGTAATTTTATTTATACTTTAGTTTATTATTTATACTCCAGATAATTTTATTTATAAGTATGTATCAAGCTTAAAAGTTTTTTTTTCATTAAAGTTTATTTAAACAATTAATAAGATAAAACATAGACAGAAAATATAGAAAATTTTGACTTTCTTCAACAAACAAAAAAAGAATAAAAGAATAAAAATAGTACCTTTTTATTGCATTCAACATTTTTGTTTTTATTGCATTCAACATTTTTATTTTTATTGCGTTCATCATTTTTGTTTAGGAACATTAAACTTGTTTTTTATTAACATTAAACAAGTTTTTGGTGTTGGTTTTTAAAACAATTTTTATGCTATAAATAGTGGATAATAAAAAATAATAAGCTATTTTAATATTTAAAAGAAAAGTTTTTATAAAATTAAGAATTTGCATTAAACATCCAACAATGCTCATCTTTATTTTCAATACAATATAAAGAAGATTTTATGTTAAGATGAAGTGAAGCTACATTTGCATGCAAAAAGTTTAATGTTTTTTATAAAAAGTTTTTTAAAATCTTTTTAATGTTTATGAAGATTTTAATAGTGCTTTTGCTTCTAGTTATGTTGGGTGACCTAGTAAAGAAATAGTCGTGCATAATTTAAAGTTCGTGTCACATAAATATCTTATAAGCTTCTGGACAATGTCATTTTTAAAAATTTAAACCAAGTTTAATGGAGTTGCACAACCAAAAGCTCTCTGTAATGTATATTTAGTTTGTCCATCATTCCAGCAACATTGGGTTTTGCAAAAATGTTGATTGTTAGTTGTTTTAGATTTTAGGTATCATTAGGAGTAGAATGTGGTAAATTGTCAGAAATTAAAACCAGAAAGGTTTGAAATTCTGAGATGACCAAAACAACCATATATTGAATTAAATCCACTAGGTTGTTAGCTACCTTAGAATGTAGAAAAAATGGGGTAAATTTTCAGAAACTGTCTGGTAACTTAATTGGAACTATCTGGTAGCTGAATGTGTACTAAATTCAATGATGCAGAATAAACTTATTGTTCTCAATGTTCAATTAGTTCAATTTTAAAGAAAATATTTTAAACCTAAAATCAGGGTTGCCACCAAATCAGGGAAATCAGGTAATTCAGGGAAAATCAGGGAAATTTAGATACAATCAGAGAAAATCAGGGGGAAATGATTGATTTAGGAAAAAATCAGGGAAAATCAGGGAACTTTTTAATTTTTCTTTAATGTTTTTAAATTTTTTCTAATAAAAATCTTCCTTTTTAAGGGTACCAGGGTTAATGTTTAACATTTTTAAAGAAAATTAATCATATTGTGTTTACATTAATTTAATGTTTGCAACATAATTCAAAGAAAAATGGTTAATTGATCCTTTGTTTGAAAAATGGCTGATAATAGGCAAAAATGTCCAATTGGATCTAAATATTCAGTTTTAGAGCAGCAATTTAAATCGTGTTGAATCCAGATACTTTGAAATTTTTAGGTTACCCCACAGCAAAGAATTTACTTAAAAGTATGACTCAACTAAGTATGGAAGGTACAAATGTGAGCTGTTCCCTTCTTAATCTTCTTGAATTGCAGCATGATCAACAAGAGCTACCTAAACTTCTTAACGTTGGAAGCTGTAACCTTCATCTAATACATGGTTTCAAATCGGGTTTTCAATCTGCTGAATGGAATATAAAGAAGTTAATGAAAGCATCATACAACCTTTTTTATGATTCTTCAGCTAGAAGAGCTGATTATGTAACTGTTACTAAATGTGAGAGTTTTCCTTGTGCATTTTGCTCTACACGCTGAGTTGTAGACCAAAAAGTTGTAGATAGACTTTGTTTATTTTTGGGAGAATGTTAAAAAAAATAACCAAGTATTGAGAGACTCTTTCTAAAAGTAAGTAACCAAAATGAAAGAGCTATGACAAGTGTTTGGGGCAGAGTTGTTAACAAGGCCAAAATTATCAAGACCAAGGCCAAGGCCACTCATTATAAGTCCAAGGCCAAGATCAAGGCTAAAAGTTACAAGGGCAAGGCTAAGAGTTTATGGTTAAGGCCAAAACAATCAATGCCAAGACCAAAATTTTCAGGTCAAGGACTAACAACTCTGGTTCGAGGGAACAAAAGATAAGTTAATTCTGACTAAATTGAAGTTTTTTGGTTGCATTGCAAGTTTTTTGCAGAAAATCTTACTGAAATATCAAACCAATGCTCAAATGATTCCCTTTCTTTTTGAAGATTTGTTCTCAACTGTTGAAAGTTTAATGGGTTTAATTATAAACAAGATCTCCTTAGCATCGTTAATGGCAGGAAACTTCAATAATATGATTTAACAAAAAAGGAAAACTTTCTGCTATTAAAATTAATGATAATAGGATTTGCTGCAGAATATGACATTATCGAATTGAGGAAAAAGGATGCATTATCTCAGGATGTCATCATAGATTCATAAAAGAGTGCTGTCTCATTATCTTTGGAATTCTGGAAAAAATAATAGAAAGAAGTTTAAATCAATTTTCTTTTCTGGAAGCAACTGCTTGCATCAATCCAGTGTCAAATCTTTCTAAACAAAAAGCTGATCTTCTTCATCAGATAAAATCTGTACTACATCTAGTTCTTTTTTGCTCACATATTACTTCAAATAAATGTGATCAAGCTTTCATAAAATTTTTAAAGTTGTTAGAGAAAAGTTCATCTACTTTTATTTTGAAACGAATAAAGTTGGTGTAGATTATAAGGTTTTGTCAAAAGTTTTGATATTTATTTTTATGTCATGGGCAAGCATCAATTGAGAGAGAAATTTTTCATATGTTGATTGAAGTGTTTGATTATTTATTTTAATTTTTAAGCAAATTGATTGGTTAATTACTTATTGGGGATAAAATGCTCTGGGGTTATTAGGGAAGTTTTAATGCTAAGTTTGGGCATTTAAATGCTGGAAATATCAAGCAAATTTCAAGGGGGAAAATCAGGGGGAAAAAAGAAAAATTTTAGCAAAAAATCAGGGAAAATCAGGGAGAAAAAAGCAAATTTTTGGCAAAAAAATCAGGGAAAATCAGGGAATTTTGTTCCTAAATAACAGTGGCAACCCTGTGAAATGCTTTCTTTTCTTAGTTGACATATACTTATATTTCTTGTTGATCTTAATTTTTCAAATTTCAACGATATAAAATTTTATACTGGCTACTTAAATTTTTATAACTAAATACACTTGCCTTTGTATTTTCTATTTCTATTTCAGGGTGAATTTGCTAATAAAATTTGTTTCAACTAAAACAGGCAAGTATAGATGTATCACAAAGTTTAAAGTACCATGAACATCTAATTTTTAAATATAAAATCTTGTTTGCAAATTTAAAGCAATAAATGCAGATAAACCTTGCTTTTGTTGATTTTTTCTCTACAAGTTTTTTTTTTCTTTCTTTTTTGCATTTGGAAACTTTGGGATAGTACATGTTTGAATTTAAGATTTTTATATAAGTTTTATTGTTTTTCAAATTGTTATTACTTTTTGATTCAAATAGAACAAAACATGTTGTCATGTAAAAAATTGTTTGCAACGATAAAAACAACTTAATTATCAACAACAAGCAATTTGTCTTTATTGAGTGTTTTTGTTTTATTAACATGTTACTAATTGCTTTTGTTTTACTTTCAATTTATCACGCGCAATATGATTTTGAAACAAGGTTAAATTATTTTTGTTAAAAATTTTAGGAAAACAAAATCATTTAAATTTTCAGCTAAAATAATTGCATAACTTTAATTTATTTAACTTCACATATGGATAAACTTATCAATTACAAATTAAAAAAAGTTTAAATTAAAAATTAAAAATTTTAATTTAGTAAACTTTATGATTTTTTTTTCTTCTTATTTATCTTATTTATTGAATTTTTTAACACTTTTTTTCTTTAAATTTGTAATTTAGGCTCAGGAAGGTCAATCTGTGACAGATTTTTTAAAAAAATGGGATATTTGGAGTAAAGAATGTGAATCTCGTTTAGAAGGTGGTGATTTTTCACAATATCCAGAGCTTGAAGAGATATGTATGGTAAATATGGATGATTAATATTTTGTTTAAAATCTAACGTAAAAAATTAAAATCTTGTTGAAGGTAAATATTAAGAAAAATACAAAAAAGGGATCCCAAAGTTAACTGAGTTGTTTTGTTTAGTTGAGAGAGCCTCCAAAAAATTTTTAATGGTTATTGTACAATTAATTTTTTAAAGGTTTCTATAAAATTCTGCTCCATGCATTGGTGAGCTTTCCTTTTAGCTCACTTTTATACTACTATAGATTTAGCTTGTTATCTAATTTTAATTTTCTTGAATTTTTAAAAAGTTAATTTTTATCAGGACAATATTTCAGAACTAGAAGAAAGCAAAGAAGAGTAATGAGGTTATTAACTCATTCATATCTCCTCTCAATGTGTTGAGATATTTGAAGAGAAGGTAACCTTGCTCAATGTGTTGAGATTTTTGAAGAGAAGTTAACTTTGCTCAATGTGTTCAGATTTTTTTTGAACTTTGCTCAGGAATTAATTTAGGTAGCTTTGCAGTTTCTACATTTGATTATTTATAACTGTTCAACAATGAATCGAAAAATAGTTTTGGATTTATTGTTTACAATAATGAATGCAAAATCACAATATGCAAAACTGTGTATATACTTTTAAAGAAAGTTAAAGAAAATCACTATTGTTATATGATCTTATATTTTCATGTATTTTCACTATTGTTGATCTTATATTTTCACTATTGTTGATCTTATATTTTCATGTATTTTCACTATTGTTGATCTTATATTTTCATAAAATATGGAGCACAAGATTAGTCATAAGTAAAATCACTCATTTGTAGTTTTACTGGAAAAATCACACATTTGATTTGGATGCCTCAGACTTTATTTTTGCCAAATAAAGTATAACTTAAAAATGCATGAACCTTGAAAAAAAATTTAAAAAAAAATATGGCAATTTATTAAATCAAAAATATAACAAAGTTTAGTGGTTGAAAAGAATGTAAATAAGAATACAAACAAAATGTTTATTAGTTTTGAATTTAAGTTAAGTAAATATCAGCTAGCGGTCTGGATTTAAATTACTTTAAGTAAGTGTGTAGCTAGCAGTCTGGATTGTTTCTAATTTTGCTAAGGAAATCAAAAGAATTGGTTTCTTATTTCTTTTATTGTTTTTTACAATAAAAAATTGCTTAAAATGTTTAGAAAAAATGTTTTATTCTATAAAAAATCTTTTTCTTAAAAAACTTTTGTTTAAAATGATTTTATATGAAATTATTTTTCAACTAGCATATATACTTTTTCGTAAATTACTTATGTAACCTTTTTTTTTTTTAATTTCACTTTATAACATATTTATCTATATGATTTAACTTTTAGTTTAAATGTCTTATATGTAACAGCAGGCTTTAAGGCGTGTTGTCAACTGTTGAGGTTTCCAAGGTTGAAGCTTCTGTTGAGGTTTCCAATTAGGGAAACATGCCTTAGGAAGGAATTTCCATTCAGGGAAACAACTATTTTTAAAAGTGTATATTTAATCCAATTTGATTTGCATATTGGTTCAAAAATCTTGTTTTAAGCGATTAAATAATAAAATAATGTGATTATCAAATGCTTAAAATAATGTGATTTTCAAATGGTGACTGTTGGGTTTTAATTGAAATTTATTTCAAGCTAATAGATTCAAAAGATTTAAATGGATCACATTTAAAAACAATATACCACTACTATACCCAAACCATTTGATAAAACCTTTTGATAGTTCTACAATTAATGGTTCAAGGTTAATTTTAAAATAGTTTGAATATTTTTATCATACTTTTTATAAAAATTTTTTTGTTTAGTTTATAAAATAGATAATAACACAAATTTATACTATAAAAATATGATATTAATAAATATAATAACTTTATACTATAATGAAGTCAATGTTTATTTAATGAATTATGACAGAGTACTTTGGGATCTCTAGTAACAATGGAATTCAAAATTAACCTGATTAATTCTTTTTGTTTAAGCTTCTTTGTGGCAAAGATTCTGCACTTCTAAAACATAAGTATTTTTGCATTTTATTATTATTTTTTTATTTCAAAAACAATTTCTTCAGAATACTTGAAATTTATATAAATTTCTTTTTCAATAAAATTGAAGTTCTATTTTTTTTTCAAATGTAATCTCTTGATTTACTTTCACCTGTCTAATAAATGGAGGTTAAGGTGAGTGGGTGTGTAGTGGGATCTTAATAAACAGGGAGGGAATCCTAATTAATGGAACTGTCTGAATTTTAAACAAAGTGAACTAAAAAAGCAACATATTTTCTTGACATCTTTTGAAAATAAAATTAACATTGACTAAAAGTAATCTGAAGGAAATTTTAGAAAATCAACTCACACTTTATTAACAAAAGAAGTAATATTTTTACTAATAAACTGTAAACTCTTATAATAGATTCAATGCAAAAGCATAATTATAGGCATTGTACCTTAAAAAATTAAATAATAAGTTTAGGCTATATCAAAACAATTTTAAACAAATAATAAAATTCATCATTAAGAAATCGTCATTAGACTATCATCATCATTCTTCTTTAAATGATTTGTAATGAATATAATTATTTAATTATGAATATAATTAATGAATATAATTATTTAATTATGAATATAATTAATGAATATAATTATTTAATTATGAATATAATTAATGAATATAATTATTTCCATCAGTCTAGTATCATAAAAAATCATGCAAAAATATTGTTAGAATTTATCAAAAATAATTCTATAGTATTGAAATAAGTTTTTATTGTACTAATAATTTTGAGTTTGTGTGTACTTTGTAAATAAATGTAACTTTTAATGTAACTGTTATTCAATAAAAGTTATGACTGATATACAAGAGTCATATATTGAAATACATTTGATGAAAAATTTTCTCTTTTGATAATCATATAAAGATATAGCTAGGTCACTGTTCTAGGTGTACTGTTCTATTTAGTGTATGCATATTTTTTGTAGATTTTTTTAAACATTAGATTTTTTAAACAAATGTTGGTTCTTTAAGTTTGTATTTTTTTTTTAAATAGAAATATTTGTGAATCTTGGTATGAAATTATGGTTGCAAAATTATTATATACCCAGCCAACTGTTTCTACATTCAATCTTAAAAAAATTGCAGTGGTATGCTTGTATATTATTTTGTATGTTAATTAATATAGTTAATGAGTACCAAGACGATGCCAAATTTGTTGATTGTGTACAGCACATAGTTTGATATTTTGAATTTTTTTGTCTAAATTTTTTGATTTTTTTTTACTTTATTTTTGAGATTTATGTTGTTATTTGTATGATTCAATCTAAGAAATAGATTAGGGTTTTTTTTTATGATTAAAAACTATGATGTCTAATGTAAACTTGTGTTGATGTAGTTAAAGTTTTGAATTTTTTTGTATAGGACTGTTTAGAGTTGTTTAATGGTATTGATAATGTTAGTGCATTGGATGAAATTGTTTTGTCAATATTATCATTCGATATCCATACAGTAGTTGAAAAATCAAGGTAATAATGTCTTATAATAAATTTTTTGTCCTGTAATAAATTTTATTTGTAGTTTATAACTATAAACATTGAAAAATATCATTTTGTAAAAACACAATGTATTCTTTTTTTATAAAAAAAATAAATAATAAAACTATTGTTTCTTTCAATAACTCTAATCCAGTGAAATATTCCCAAACTGGTGGTTTGTAATGCATCTCACAGATCTGTTATACCATTGTGATTTATTAAAAAGCTATAACATTGAGTAAGTTTTTTTTTTTTTTAACTAAAAGATTCTTCCATGTAGTAAAGAAAAACTGCTTTTTAAATCTTTTTTTTTTTTTTTGTTGAAAACCGTTGTTGTTTTTTCAGCTATGGTGTTGAGTTACGAGAGTTTTTATTATTGGAATACAGTGCAAGTCTTATGTCTCATCCAAGGTAAATTTTTAAAACAGTACCCAATCACCCAAGGTATGTTCATTCAATCACCCAAGGTATGTTCATTCAATCACCCAAGGTATGTTCATTCAATCATCCAAGGTATGTTCATTCAAATTTTTTGAATCTGGAGTATTTATCTTATTTACAAATATTTGTCATAATTTTAGTTTATGGTCTACTGCAGCTGAATACTTTCTCAACTCTCCAACTCATGGAAGGTTAAAATATTTGTTTTTATTTGTTTCTTTAATATATTAACTTGCAAGTTTTTTTTATAAGGTCTTTATTATTATTATTAAGGTGTTATTTTTTAACTTTTTTTTTAGGGGTTATCTTGCTGCTTATATTGAAAGGATACCTTTAGACTGTGAAAAGAAAGCGTTAAAATTGATCCATATATGTAAAACACATGGTTTTCCAGAATTAAGTGAGTTTTTTAACTGCAAATAAATAAATTCAATAAAATTTAAACTTCATGCTCAATAAAAAATGGTTTTTTTAATAGGGCAAAGGAGTTTAAAAAAAAAGAAGATTTTAATCAATAAGAATTTTAAAAAAGGTTATTAAAAACTTTTTCAACACAAAGCTCAAATGCAAATTTTAAATATTCAGAAAAAATTCTTTTGGTAGCTCAAAAGCCGTATTTTTGCTGAATTAAAAAGATCTAGATTAAACACATTTTATGTTTACAAATTTTTTTAAATGGAATTTTTGTTTACTAAAAGTTTCAAAGGAACTAAAAATTTAATTAATTTGTTACTTGTCACAACTTCTGGTATTAAGTTAAATTTAACTATAAATTATGGTAGACTTCAATCAATTATTGTTGATATTTTTATTTTCTACAAGTTTTTTTAGTTTAATATATAGTTAATTAAATAATAAAATGTTGATTTTAGTTCGAGATATATGTAAAGTAATGGGCATGAAAGCAATACGCAGAAAAAGACTTGGTGTAGCTCTTTCTTGGTGTTTACGCTCTAAGGTATTCTAAAGTTCTAAGGAATTATTTGTAAGCACTTAAACATATTTGTCAACTTAAAACTTGCAAATTTTCACAACATGAGCAAATTAAACATTTTCAATTTTTATTTCAGAACAACTCTATAAGTATTATGGTACTTCATTGTTGAATATTTTGTGTGCTGTGTTCATTATAACATTTTACTTGTTATTTACATTTAAAATGTTATGATAAAAACTATTAATTTCTATTTCACTTATTCTCATTTTTATAGCCATCAAAATAAAAGTTAATTTTGCTCAATGAAATTTCATCTTTTGTTTCTTGCTTATTTTTTGGTTCTAGTGACCATACCATTTAGGAGATACTTTACAACCAAGTTAATCATTGTAAGATATTTTAATTATTTCTGCTTTTGTAGTAAAATTATTTCTCTTCTACATCTAATGGTCTAGACATCTAGTAGACATCTAGTGGTCTAGACAACATTTCTGAAAAAGAATAGTCTTATAAAAGTGTAAATAGTATCTTGGTCTTTTTATTAGGGGTGCACTGATGACTACTTTTGGCCATGCCAATTTGTACATTCCAGTAAAACTCATAGTTTATTGTTTATGTTTGAAACTTTTGTATTTACTTACTCTTCAACTGTAAATTAGTGTTCAACAGACTGATAAACATTTATTCCCATGAGATCAATACCTAATCTATACCTAAAATAATAGATTCATGCAAAAATAAAATAAAAAATTTGATGATTTATTTTACTAATGATCGTTATTACAACTACCAATAAAAAAAAATTTGTTAAAATTAACTTTAATAAAATGGTAAACAAAATTGACACCAACGACTACTCATTTGTAAAAAATACCACCCCAACAGTTGCTAACCTTGATATCTGGATAATGGAACTTATGAACATTATCTCTGAACAAAGGTCAATAATTGATTTACAAGCTAACCAAATTTAAAAACTTGATCAAAAAATATCAGTGATTGAAAAAGATAAAATCAACTCCAGTCCAACAGGTTACCCCAGACTCACCATCTTGGAGTAACATTGTTAAAAACAAACCAAAGATATCCTCACAAATAAGTCAAGTCTAAGTTGAGCTTAAACAAGCGGCAAAGTGTGAAAAAAATATTCTAATATTTGGTGTTCCTGAACCAGCCACCCTAGCTTGTGATACCAATCCAACACTCCCGGTACTATCATGTGTCTCTGGCGTTTTGAGCATTCTTTGAATCACCAATGAAAATATCGTCTTCTCTAAATGTCTAAATGCGAAAAAATCTTCAAACATTTGTCCAGTTCTAATGGAACTTAGACCGCCCTATCCAACACCCATATGCTTGAAAATCACAAAATCTTCAAAAAATACATGGTAAGCCCTGATTTGTCTCCTGCTGAAAAAGAACTAGAGTGCTACCTATGTAAGGATCGAAATGCCCGCAAAAACTTCGTTCTGAAAACCTTGAAGCACTATTTCATTTGGGCAGCTGCTGTGGAGCAGTCATTAGGGTTTTCGGTGCCTTTAACCCATGCTCTACCCTTACCCAAATAACTCAACACTCCTTATAAAGCACCTACCCAATATATTTACAAGGAACTTACTTTTACTTTGTAATAAAGTAGTTACCCTAAATCAATACCAAGCCAACTCTAACATTGATATTGTGTGTTTTACTGAAACATAATTTAAACTGTATGTCATGTAATGCCAAAAACGTTTTTTAGTTAAATGAGAACTACAATTTTGCTAGCTTTGAGCGACTAGACCGAATTGGAGGAGGCACCCTGATATTTGTTGATAAAAGATTCTCAAAGAAAATTGAACATATTTATCTTCAATCACATCATACAAACCTATTCATAACATTGAGCTTACCATTGTAATTTGTGCATATGTCCCAGTCTGGTTATTAACTGCATGGCAAGAAGCATATTTTCAACTTGCAAAACTCATAGAACCAGCAATCAGTTGTTGCGCTACCAACAACAAACCCCTAATTTTTTATACCGGTGATCAAATGGATGTTCTACCAATTTTATCTCTTGTTCGCATCAATTAGTTAGTCTAAACTCAAGCCTGACTCGAAAACTAGCAATCTTGATAATAATACTAAGTAACACACCTAAATGTTACATTTCTCAAACTATCCCTGAACCCGGTAACTCTGATCACCTCATTGTTTTATGTTACCCATCATTTTATCTATATAAAACATACCTACCCCCTCCGCGTAAAATTATTACTGCTCCGGTAAAATAGGAGATACAGTAGAATTAATTAGAGGCACTGAGCTAAAAAACTTAGTCAAGTTGCATCATGATATCCAAACTGCATGCACCAATTTCTACAATGCAATATTTGCTGCTCAAGATTTGTGCTAACCACTAAAAACTTTAACACTTATTAACACCCCTTGGATGACCGCCTATATTTAAAGCCTAATAAAATTATGTCAAAAATATTTCAAAGTTGGTTTGTATATTTAATGGAGGAAAATAGCTGCAAAGGTAAAAAAACTAATCATTAAAAGAAAAATATTTTATAATAAATATATACATATTAGGCAACACTGATTTTTGGAAAGAAGGAAAACAATGTAATAAGTCTGTAAATAAATCATCAATTTCTGTAAATCTAGCCAATAAACTAAATGATTGTTATCATAATGTTTGAAAAGATAAAAAATTTTATTATATCCTAATCTTTATTACCATGAATGCAGATCAAACTGCAAATCCCATTTTTACTTACAATAATATTTTTAACCTAAGATTTTATTGTCTCAAGTCTGGATCGTTTGGCGATTCAGACTTGAGACAATAAAATGTCAATATTCGCCATCTTTTTTGATTTTCTCAATGTCAATATTCACCATCTTTTTTGATTTCTCTATTTGCCATCTTTTTTGATTTCTCTATGACAAAGATGCAAATAAACCTACTTCAATCTATTGTGGATGACGTAGCAAACTGGGCTACTGTTAATGGCATGAAACTCGATCATTTAAAATGCAAATTATTATCGATAGAGAGTTTCCATCCTACTCAAGTTGCAATTCCATCGCCAATTTTTTTAAACTTCAAACTTAAATCAGTTGATTACTACAAGTACCTAGGTATCCTAATTAACAAAAATCTTTACTTGGATGATCAATGAGTAAAAGTTCATAACTCTATTAAGTCAGTACCCTACTTATTAAAATGCCTTAAAAAGATTGGTCACACTCAATTAAACCTACTTCAAATTTATAGATCCTATGCACTCACACTCTGTACAGTGCCCCTCTCGTCTTGCAGTAATGCAGCAAAAAAAGAGCTACAACTATTCCACAAACAATCACTCCATGTTATTAAGATTGATACAATAACCTCACACCAAATCAATATCTGTTACAATATCAAAGAGCTTATTTATAAAACCTATATAAAATTACTTAAAAAAACCCTATCTAACACAGCACATAAAAAAAACTTAATAATTCAAACCAAAGGAAGAAAGCTGTCAGGGTTTCTTTTCTATAAAACCAATACTACTAACACTACATTGTATCAAAAAACGTTTGTTTAAAAGTATTTACCAATACTTCAAGATGGTATTGAAAACCTATACCCTTGTAAGTAATATTGTCAGTACATCTCCCACTTATCATTTTTTAACCTAAGAGAATAATACTCCAGATACATTATGAAGAAAAATTGTAAAATTCATTTATATGCTATGCAATTTTAAATAAAATCAAAATAAAATAAAATAAAAGTGTGTTGAGTGTATATGATGTATCAGATAATAGTGTGTTGGGTGTAAATGGTGTATTAGGAAATGTTATAAAAATTATAATTAACACAAATGATTATCTCTTACTTCTTGTTCCAACTATTTTCATTTAGTTAACATATTTTCATAGTGTTTTTTTTTTTTTTTTTGCATGCTTAAAAAAACTTTTTGTTGTGTACCTTAACTCCTAATTTAGATTACATCTTGTTGCAGCTATTATAATTATATGAGATTTAGATTGCATCTTGTTGCAACTATTATAATTATATGAGAATTAGATTGCATCTTGTTGAAACTATTATAATTATATGAGATTTAGATTGCATCTTGTTGCAACTATTATAATTATATGAGATTTATGTTTTTAGGATGAAGCATTTGCATCAATAATTACAGATCAGTGAGTACTATAATATTTAATATGTTATTAGAATTATATTATTAGTTTATTATATTATTACATGGTGTTATACTGAATTTTTTTTTTTTGACACATTTATATCTATAAAAATTTAAACGAACTGATATATTAAATAGTTTCTAGGTCTTTTTCAGAAGCTTAAATTGTTTGCTATTGAATATACCCGTTTATAGTTTTAATTGACTTATGAGGTTTTAAATTTCAACAATCTAAAATTATGTTTAAATTCAACTTCAAATTTCAGAGTTTTTTATATTGATAAAAAATTTTTGTTTTGATTTTTCCATTTTTATATACTTTCATAATATGATGTATTATAATAATGATCAGACGTATACATCTACTGGTGTATAGAGGCAAAAAATTTAGAAAATACATTAATTGATATAAAGGGTTCGCTCTTTGTTTTTGGTCTCTATTGAAAATATAATCTGTTGAGAATTTAGGTTTTTTGAATTTTTGTTTTCAAACAGTAATATGTTAAAAGTAAATATATAAATACAAGAAGTTGGTAACTATTTTAGTTATTAATAATTTTTTCTAAAATTACAGAAAAAAACTATTTTAAATTAAAATAGTTTTTTTCTGTAAATTTAGAAAAAAGTTTTAATATGTTGATATGCAAATATTTATTATTTTTTCAATAATTTATATTCTTTTTAGAGTTCAAACATTTTTTTAATATTTCCAGATTTTTAGACTATTATAAAGACACTGGATGTTTTACACAATGTGATTTAATTGAAAATCTTGGATCTTCCATGCTGCTTCATAATAAATTGACATTTTTAGGTAAACATTTTTTTATTTGCTGAATGAAAAGCATGAATGAATAATATTTTAAATTATAAGTTAACTTTCATTTTGTTTAAAGTCTATGTAAGTTGAATAATACCTAAGTTTTATAACTGTAATACCATTAATATATAAAAATATATTTTGTATGTAGGTAAATACTACGATTTTCATAAGTTGTACGCTGATGGAAACTTTTTAGAAGCAAGCAATTTATTAGTATCTCTTCTAACTTCAAATCTTGCGCCTAAAAAGTAAGTAATACTGTGATGAATGTTTATTAGGAGTTTTCAAAGAGTTTGTAATCAAAATATAAACTTTAAAATTTCGAGAAAAAATAAAAAGTTTTTGTCAATTTAAACTATTAATTTAATTACAAACTTGCTCACATTTCTCGTAAATTGCTCATAAATTTTACTTATGATTATTTTGATTATATGTGGTTAATTTAATTAACCATAATTTAATTAACCACTCAATAATTTGGTCTCGTAATCTCAATTACTTTTGATTATATATGGTTATCATAACTTATTACACTGATTATAATGATAATCTCAATTACTTTGATTCTATATGGAAGTAATGAGCCCAACGCTAACTTGTACATTAACTGTTTTTGTAAAAAATATGTTATGATAAATGATAACTTATTTTTTAAAGATGTTTGGCTACCCTAAAAATTTGTGTATTGGGGCAGGGAGGGAGGGTTATATTTTTATGATTTATAATGAAGCATTTTTATATTTGAAACTAAGTTTAAATAAAACTACTTAAATCAAGTCAGCTTTAATTAAAGTTAAAAATTTTTAAACCAGTTTGTTAAGGAATGAAAATGTATAAATATATGTTCAAATAGAAGGTTAAAAATTCATTTCTGATTTACTAAATAGTAATTTTTAAAATTTTGTAATAGATTATTTTCAATAGTCATTTCTGTAATTTTTAGATTCTGGTTGTCAATTTTAATTGATGCTCTTCCTTTATTGGAACATGAAGAGGTATTTAAATGATCATAAATAGTTAACCTTAATAAATATTTTTTTATAATCCACTAATTACATTTCATTAAATTAATATTTTTATAACATTTTGTTTTACATAAGGACAGTATTGAAGGACATTACGTTGACAGGACATGATTCTTATATAGATAAGGTTACAAGGTAAACACAGTTGATTGTAGAAGTGCAAGAAAGCTTCATTTCCATAATATTTTTAAATTAAATTTCTCAAAGTTTTTTGCTGTAATGAATACTTGCATTGAATTCTGAATTTTTAATTTTTGATTTTGAATACAATGAATGAATGAGAATAGCAAAACATATATAATTCTATTTTATAAAATTAAATAACCTAAGTTACATAATTAAAAATTTTTGCAAAAAAATATTTTTTAAAAACCAGGATTAAGAGAAAAGCAATTGATTTATGCAGAAAAAATTCTAAGTGCAGAAATGAACTCAATAAAAACAAAAAAAAATGGCTGTTCTTGACAACTTAACAAAAACAAAACAAAAATGAATATTTTTGACTACTCAATAAATACAAAAAATTTTGACTATTCAGACAAAATAGAAAAAAAGGATTCGAGAGTTGAATGAGCCAATCAAAGCACTGCAGGTTGAGTTGAATCAAATTAATAAAACTAAAATATAAGAAATTACAATGTAAATACAAGCCAGCTGAAGAAAAAAAAACTAGAAATGCAATAGAATGCATAAATCTAGAATCTGGCCAGTATCTGAAAAATGTTTAGTAAATATAATTAGAAAAATAACTGGGTTCATTCACTAAATTACATTTTAAATGGGCTAAAATCACATTTCTGAACAGTTAAATTATCTGGTGATACAAAATCAATAGACTATTTGCTGGTGATACTCAAATAGTGATGTGTCAAATGAACAAATAAACAGAAATTTTATTACAAAACATTCTATATGGCTAGATAATGAAATTAGTTCGAATAATTTTAATAATTAATTTGAAAAATTATAATGCACCTAAAATAAACCTACAAATTCTCTATCTTCCTATAGCATTGGTCAACCACCAGTTACTTGTGTTCAACCAGTTACTGACATTCAAGAGTGTTCAACAAGAGCTAGTTCATCCTCTACTTTATGGCTTTTCAGATTATTATTCACTACTGACCTTTCATGGAAACTAAATGTACATTGCAAAGTTAGCAACTGCTAAAATTGTCTCTCTCTATCATGCTTGTCATTTTTTCAGACTCCATATATGTATATGTATGTATGTGTATATATATATATACACATACATACATATATATATATATATATATATATATATATATATATATATATATATATATATATATATATATATATATATATATATATATATATATATATATAATAAAATAATTTAAATGAAAAAAATACAACTTTATGATGGAACTAAAAGTTTCATGCCGTTCGGCAATCATCAGCCATATTATTGATGTACAAAATAAAAACCGTTATAAAAAATACAAATTTAGCCTTGCAACGGCATCTGATGTCAATTGTACGTGATCCGATATTTGCTAATTGCCGGAATCAAAGTTAGTTAGTTAAAATTTTTTCCTATGCCTACAAGCAGAAACCAATTCACTTTTTTTGTTAAGTAGTAGTCGGCTATCAAAAGTCATAATAAAATACTTTTCATTGATGCAAAGGTTACACTTTTTTGTAGATGGGTTAAAAGATTGGCATCTTTTAATTATGTTCCACTTAATTATAGGCATGTTACCTGCGTCTTTAAGTTTCCAGATTTCCTTGGAAAGTTCCGTATCATTGCTATACCTGGTTGCATTAAATGATTTAAGATGGTTTGCAAATCTGAGCTTGAATGTGTTTTCACTAATTCCGATGTAGGATTTTTTGGTTAGACTGGTATTAGGTGATTCTAAAGTGGCTTTATAAACTACATTTTTTGATAGACACTGATTATTTAACGGGCATGTGGTTTTATTAATGCAGTTGCAGTTTATATCATTATCGGTAAGTTTGTTGCGCAAAATTTGTTGGTTGTGTGAATTAATTATTGATCGAATATTTGGCATGCAGCTGTAACTAATTTTTATTGTGTTAAATATATAAATATATATATATATATATATATATATATATATATATATATATATATATATATATATATATATATATATATATATATTTGTGAGTGTGTGTGTGTGTGTGTATGTGTGTGTGTGTGTGTCTATATATGTTTTGTTTTAACTAAGATGCTGAGGAAGTTGTTATTTTATATTGAATTTGATATTGAGGAATAAAATAAGCTTGTTAAGTGGATTAAAAAAGACTGTAACTTTATCTGATAAATAAATTATCTGATGCAGTTAATATTTTCTTGAGTCAATAAAAAAAAAAAGTTTTTCACAAGTAAATATTATTATGTTAAGTAACCTAAATGTTTTTTTTTTTCAGTTTTACAGCTAGTTTTTTTCTTAAACATTTTTATATTGTTTTTAGCTTTTGTTTAACAGTGAGCAGACATATGAGTTGATGCAGTGTCTTGAAGAATTACATCTTTGTTTCGATAGAAAACTTTCAAAAAACAAAGTAAAATATTTTTTTCACCATATTTCTTATGTATAAAAGTTATTAAGTTAGTATATGATTACATTGTTTAGTATTTGCTTATGTCTAATTTGATTTTGGCATTAGAGTACACTTTGAATAAAAGTTCGTTTTTGTAAATTCTAAAATTGATGAAAAGTTGTATTGTATACAATTTACATAAAAAT